TGAAGCATTTCATGGAGCAGTGACGGTGCAGTGCATTCTTTTCATTTGCAGGGATGCTGATTGGAATGAGGCATTTAATTTCTCAAAAGATACAAAGTTTCTTGTCCAAATGTGCCAGAAAAACCCAAGGTTACTTCAGCCAAATTCATATCTTTAACTCTGTTTATGCATGCCTCGCTTCTTACATTTCTAATGTATGGGAATATAGGAGATATGATGCAGCCGTTGTGCACAGCAGCTGAGATAAAATTATACTTTGAGAGCTTCTCTAAGCAGGATGATGGATTACAGGGGACCATTTTTTTGAGGCCTAACAAGAATTGTAATTTAAGCTCGTGGGTTTCTGGGTGTGAGCCGGGGTGGGCATGTTAGTGTTGGTAAAGACCAGAAGGTTGATCTCAAAAACTTCAAGGACATTCCTGATAGAACCGAGGCAGGTGCAGCTTGTTGTGAGGGCTTCTTTAGCCGTCGTGGTATTACTTGCATGATTCGTAAGTGTGTTTGGAGACTCGAGAATTGATTAAGTTATAACTAAACTACTAATGATTATGTAATGAAGGGCTTATGCAGTGTATAACAGTGTGAAGTTAAGTTTTACTACTGAATTGTGCAATTAGATAGCAACCCATTATTTTTGATATTTACAAACTTGATATGCATTGAGGAAGAAAGACTGTGTCTAGTTGCAAGTTGTACACCTATATTCTTTCCATTCCCTTCTTGGATGGCTAACAAATAAATAGTTTCGTTATTACAAAGGCATAGGGATGTGATCCTGCAAAGGAAATGGCATTGAATGTCTTATCGTTGTTTACAACATCTGGGATGCTGTTTCTTGAAGTTTGGTGGCCTTTTTGCTCCAAGGAAATTATGCCAGTGGCTTGGAAGCTTTGACACGGACATTTGTTGTCTCAGCTCCCATTGTTGGTCTGGATTTGTTTTTGAAGGTATTTTCTATACTTTATTAACCACAGAATTACTGGTGTCTGATGGTAGTGCAGTCTCCTTTGTAAATTGTACCATTAATTGCAATACTCTGCATTCTTTGAGCTTGATTTTAGCTGTGACCTAATTTCATCGCCTAGCAATCTAGAGATATGGGTATTTTGGGCCTATATTCATCAGACACTGTTTCTCGTATGGAAAGGCATACAATTGCAAGTATTTATATCTGTATCTTGTTTCTTGTTGATTGTTAAGCCTCTCTATCTTCTCTGTTTTGTGATCTTTTCACCTCTCGATTCTTTTTTGATATGTACATTGACGTAGTTTGGAATTATGAAATTAATTTTAATTGGACATGTTTCCCTGCTAGGTTGTATATTTGTTTGGATTCGGGGTTCCTTTGTTCATTGACAATAGTGAACAAACTTATTTGGAAGTTGGGAGCTGATGTGGATGAAGAAGAAGATGCATTTGATGTCCATGCTCAAGCTGAAACAGGGCTGGGCAACAACTCTACTCTTGAATATGACTTTGTTGTATTTTCAAGTGATGAGGCCTATGCAAGTGACTAGAAGATTAATTTTTGTTGGATTGATTTGAAACTGCACTAATTCCTTAATATCAATGGTTTATTGTTTTGTAATTATACATGACAAAAGCATATCCATTGTTGTGGGATTAAAATGGAACACCATGATCAAAAGTTATAAAATATAAGTTTTTTAGTGGTGAATTTGACATAATTCTTAATTTTATCATCTTATTCATGTGATTTAAATATAATATGTTTTATTTTTTAATATTAAAATATAAACATTTATCTAACATTTATGTCTTAAAATATGAAAAATTAGTTTTTAATTACCAACCTTAAAATAATTAAAAAATTAATGTTCTATAAAAATATAAAATAAAAAAAATGAAATGAGAGTAGTGTTTTAATAAGTAAAAATATCAATTTTAATCATTTTAATATTATATTAGATTAAAAGATTTTTTTATAAAAAATTTACTACGCAACTTTTCACTTTAAAAATATCTTTGTAAAAAATTTTACTAAATATCTTTTATTTCTCATAAACAGGATTTCTACACCAGATTCTCTTAAACAGGACTTCTACATCAGATACTCCTAAACAGGATTTTTACTACATATTCTCTTAAACAAGACTTCTATCAAAAACTGCAGCCAACCCAAACAGGCTGTGTGGCCTTTTCTTCCATCACTGCATTCTTGGTATTCATCTGAACAGGCTGTGTGGCCTTTTCTTCCATCACTGCATTCTTGGTAT